AAATGAATACATACATGCATAAATAAACACAAAATCAAATAAACAAATAAATAGCTAAATAAATACAAAAAATAAATAAATAGCTAAATAAATACATATATATATAAATGCATAAATACATAAATAAATAATCAAATAAATACATGAATACATAAATAAACAAATACATAAATAAATAAATAAAGTAAACTGATATATAAATACATACATAAATAAAAACATAAATAAATACATAAATAAAAAAATAAATAAATAAATAAATAAATAAATAAACGATTGATGACCAACTAAACTTCTCTGACCACATCTCTAGAACTGCTCGATCTTGTAGATGCACACTCTATAACATCAGAAAGGTCCGACCCTTCCTATCTGAACATGCAGCTCAACTCCTTGTTCAAGCTCTTGTTCTCTCCAGACTGGCCTAACCGTACGTTCACACCGAAAGCGGCGAGAGCGTCAAAGTAGCCGGAAGTCATTCATTTTCAATGAGAGCCGGCGGCGATAGGCGACGATAAGCGGCGAGGAGCAGAGCGGCGCGTCTTCGCCGGTGTGAGCGTCGAGGAGAGTTGAAATGAAGTCAACTTTATGGTAATGAGCTATGACGCGTTTCGGCGGCAAGCAATCAGAATGAAGACGTCCACCGCTTGATAGCAGTTCAAGGAACACAGACCTGTGAACTTTGGTTCCGACCACAGTTGTTCCCAAGGGTTTGATTATTGCGGTCGCCGGATTTCCAATTATTTACAATGTTTTCTTACAGGAACATACATTAAATAAGTCACTGGCGAGTTACTGATGTTCATTAATGTTATATAAATTTATCTTTAAAAAGCGGGAATCTCACGCGATGTGACAGTACAAAACAGTACTGCTGCTTCAGGATATTTCAGACATACGGACACATATTGGATAAATAGAGCAAAGCCACACCACACGCAACTTGATCTTCCATTGTTATATGAATTTGATAAAAAAGTGCGCAACATTTTCACGCTTAAAACATGTATTATGCTGGAATGTAACTGATATGCTGCAACGGCTCCTTTAAATATGAGATCAATGTAGCGAGTTTTGACGCTCTCGCCGCCGGAGCTGAAGGCAGTCAGCGTTGTCGCCAGGGCGGCCAGAGCGACCTTGGACGCTCTCGCCGCTTTCGGTGTGAACGTACGGTAATGCAACTCTCTACTAGCTGGGGTTCCAGCTAACTCTATCAAGCCTCTTCATCTGCTCCAGAACGCAGCAGCACGAGTGGTCTTTAATGAAGTTAAAAGAGCACATGTCACTCCGCTGCTCATCCGTTTGCACTGGCTGCCAGTTGCTGCTCGCATCAAATTCAAAGCTCTGATGTTTGCCTACAAAGCGACTTCTGGCTTTGCTCCTTCTTATCTGCTCTCGCTTCTGCAGATGTATGTGTCCTCCAGAAACTTGCGTTCTGTGAATGAACTTCGCCTCGTGGTTCCATCCCAAAGAGGGAAGAAATCACTTTCACGAACTCTCACGCTCAATCTGCCCAGTTGGTGGAATGAACTCCCTAACTGCATCAGAACGGCAGAGTCACTCGCTGTCTTCAAGAAACCACTAAACACTCAACTATTTAGTCTCCACTTCCCTTCCTAATCTGCAATTCCCTCTCTGGATATCACACTAACTGTACTCAAAAAAAAAAAAATACTAATGCTTTCCTTCTTAGACTTTACAGACCTGAAACTCGCCTACAGCACTTATTCATTGTTGCTCTTGGTTGTGTAAATTGCTTCCTTGTCCTCATTTGTAAGTCACTTTGGATAAAAGCATCTGCTAAATGACTAAATGTAAATGTAAATACAAAATAAATAAGAAAATAGATACATAAATACATAGATAAATAAAAACATAAACAAATAAATACAAAATAAATAAATAAATAAATGAATGCAAAAATAAATAAGTAAATAAATACATACATTACAGTATATTTTACTCAGAAATGTGTGATTTTTGGTTGTTTTGGATTAATAACACACACATCAGCAGTCTGTAGTGATATCTAGAAATAAAGTAGTCATGTTGTGGTATTCAGTGTATAATATATTACTGATATGAACAATTTCATTACCGTAAGCGCTTTGAAATACCTTCACTTATTCTGATATTAATATTAATTCTGATATTAAACTAAATATTAATTGTAGTATTTTGCAGGATACTAGTATTCACCCTAATGTGACATTTAAAGACAAGTCATCTGATAACAGCAGTTTGTTCTGTAGACCAAAACAAATATTTCAAACAATATTTTCTAACAATATTGCCTAAAATAATAATAATAATAATAATAATAATAATAATACCTTTGAAATTGCTTTTATTCCAGCCAAACTAAAAGAAATACAACTTTTAAAGTCTGTTAAGCATAACTAATATATAATATTAGCGGTGAAGAATAAAAATTTACCAGGAAAGTGATTACTTCAACAGTGTATATAATGTGTATGTGTGTGTGTGTGTGTGTGTATGTGCATCTGTATTCATGTGTCTATCTCTCTTCAGCCCCTTTCACACATACAGACCTTTGCGGAAATCGTCTGGATATTTACAGGCATCACTGTGTGAAAGGGGCTTAAATCTCTCTTTTTCTGTGTGTGTGGATATCTGTTTATGTTTCAACATAATGCATTAATATGCATATATAATAATATATATGCATATATATATATATGCCTAATTACCCTAACTTTACCCTAATTACCCTAGTGCAGCCTTTAAGTATAGTCTTATAAATAGTTGCAATGCTAAGAAATAAGATATGACTGAATAACTGAATGTAAAAGTCGTAATTGTGTTCCGTATTTGTATGCAATGCTGTAAATGTTTTTAGGTGAGTGTGTGTGAGAGATGCTGATAATACACTGACTTGTAAAGCACACTGGGCACGTCTAAAAGCGCAGCGGAAACCTCTGTCCGTCTGCTCTATGTTATGAGCATCGCAGGGTTCGTCCAGACACTGATCCACTGCTGAACATCAACACAACAACACACACATCAGGAGACAGACGCAACAATCCACTCAACTCATAATTCAGTGTCCTCACTTTATTATTAATCATTTAATGCACAACAAATACATACAAATAACAGCAGCATTAATAAAAAGTGCATTTTAGACATTTCAAAATTAAGAATTTCAGTTTGGTCAATGATGAATATTGTATGCAGCGTTCAGGGGCAAAGTTGACTCTTCTAGACACTCAGTCCGCACATACCTGCTTCTGAATATGAATAATCCTCTTCCTCTTCTTCATACGTTTCCTCCTGCACTGGATTTTTTCTGTAGATTCTCCCATTGATGTTAATGAGAGGCGGCCGTAAGACCTCCATCAGGAACAAACTGCTGGAGGAAGAAGAAAGCATCATCAGATGACGACATATTTCTTAATAAGTGAACAAAATTAATACACATTTTAGCCTGTCATAAGGATGCAGGACAAACTACTAAACAAATGAACATTTAAAGCCGGGTTCACCTATAAAACAGACTACATGAGCTATCAAGGAAAGTGTGTGTGTGTGTGTGTGTGTGTGTGTGTGTGTGTGTGTGTTTATGAAATGTTCAGTACAGAAGTTTAACAAAATCTGCTTTCAGTCAGTTTCTGTGCGCATGCGCTTCAGCTGTCATGATAACTGGTCTGATACAGCACCAATGAAGCGCTGACTAAGATACGCTGACTCAAAAACAATTAACAGCTCTGCATAACGTAAAACGCATTACTTTTAATTATTAAACAATGAATATATCTACTCTACCTTTGAGTAGGGATGGCTGACGTGAAACTGATGTTTTGACACAGTGTCGAGATCCCGAAGCGCAAGTGTTTCGAATCACTGCACCGAAGCATGATCCGAAGCACCCAAGTCACGTGACTAAAGTGTTTCGAAACACCTAGTCACGTGACTAAAGCGATTCAAAGCATCGATCAGCTTAGAAACGTTTCGAGACCTGGTGAATCCTAATTTGACTGCCAAGGTCTCCAAATTATCTCTGTCTCAAATGGCTTAGAGCACTGTGGGTTTGCTTATTGATTCTATGCTTGGCATGATGTTTTGGGTTCGAATCCCGACTTCGAAATCATGGTTTTATGTATTTTAATCATGTTTCTGTTTTGTGTAGCCTAAATAGGATACAGCTACAGTTACGCCATCAATTTAGCATCATTTTTGTAACACTGTAAAACAATAATAAATATTTTTACAGTATGGTTGGGTTTAGGGTTTGAGTAGACATTAATAAAATACAATAAATGGGAAATTTAATGAATAATATAAATAATTCTTGATAACTTCAGGCCACCGTTTTTGATCTAGCAACAACCCTGTTTTAAGACAAAAACAAGACATATTTATTCACAAATTGTTTATTCGGATATCAGACCAATGTTGAAACAAAACGATACAAGAGCAAAGCATTACCAACTGGTATTAAAGCATTTTAAAACAACTGCTACTGACTGGCTTCGAAACCTACTACTCCTGCATGGATGTCTGACACCTTAACCACTGTACTATGTTACTTGAAGGATTCCACTTTCACAAAGTGGGGTTTAATCCCTCAATTTGTTCAATCGTTCTTTGCTGACGCTGTTTCAGTGCAATATATATAAAAAATGACCACTAAATGTCACTGTAGAGTGAGGTTTCGAAACGTTTCGAAGCTTCGACACATTTGCTTCGACTGTTTCAGTGTTTCACGAAGCCTCGCTTTGCCCACCACTACCTTTGAGCTGCTGCTGCTGCTTGTTCGTTAGCATGTATCTGCGACTGCGTCCGTCTGCGCTCACTTCCGCCTGACGTCACGATTTATTAACCGCTGCTTATAAAAATTACCAATTTCTTCGTATTTATATATTTTTCCTTAGTGTTTTGAAAATAAGTAACATTATATGGCACTATAAGGTAGAATTTCTTAAAAAAATATATATATAAAAAGAAACCCTCTATCAGATTTCTTCGTTCTGCCGTGTCTTTAGGGGGCGCTGATGGTGATCTTCGGCAAACTGACGTCATCAAAACACACTGAAGTAAAAACAGCGGCGGATCGAGCTACACGGGTAAACAACAAATATTACACACTGTAAACAAACATTGCGATTTATTCTTTATTTAATGCGTATATTAATGTTGAGTATTGATGTATCTGATGATGTGGTTGATCTGAGCTTTACTTTCAGGAGTTCAGTCTGTTGAAAACATTTTATTGATCAGTATGGGTTAAAAAGATCGAGCTTTATTGGATAAATAATGCGCTAATGAGTGTTATATTCACATGTTCCCAGTCTAAAGATAGTTTCAGTAGTTTAGTGTTGTTGTAAGTTGTTCAATCAACTAAATTAAAACGTAAAAACAGTAAGAAATGTGTGACTTTTGGTTGTTTTGAATTAATAAGACACACATCAGCAGTCTGTAGTGATATTTAGGGATAAAATAGACGAGTAGCGGTATTCAGTGTATAACATTTACTGTAATGAACAATTTTGTTATTGTGAGCGCTTTGAAATACCTTCAATTATTTAGGATTTTTCTGTTATTATGATTGCAAGTTTCAAGACAAATACTGCTGGTCTAAAGTTATCTGAATATCCTTATGTAATTAATGTCAGAATAAATTACATTTACAGTTATTTTTCATATATTTCCCAAGTGCAGTTTAAAGGAGATTTCTTTAACACATTTCTAATCATATTAGTGTTAATAACTCTAATAACTGATTTCTTTTCTCTTTGTCATGATGACAGCACATAATATTAGACTAGATATTCTTCAAGACACTAGTGTTCAGCTTACAGTGACATGTAAAGGCTTCACTAGGGTAATTAGGGTAAAGTTAGGGTAATTAGGCAAGTCATTGTATAACAGTGGTTTGTTCTGGAGACAATCCAACACTAATATTGCTGAAGGGGCCAATAATATTGAGCTTAACATGACTTTAAAACTATTAAAAACTGCTTTTATTCTAGCCGAAATAAAACAAATAAGACTTTCTCCAGAAGAACAAATATTAGAGGAAATACTGTGAACATTACCTGAATCTGTTATACATCGTTTGGGATGAAAGAATACTAAATTCACAGGAAGGCGAATAATTCTGATTTCAACTGTAAATATAAAATGTGTGTGTGTGCATCTGTGTTTATGTCTCTATCTCTCTGTCTCTCTCTCTCTCTGTGTGTGTGTGTGTGTGTGTTCTGGGTACAGCGCAGATCCTCAATGGCCGCCTCCTCGTCCTCGTCCTCTGCTGGAGGAGTCAGTGGGAGTTCAGTGACCGGCTCCGGCTTCAGTGCCTCTGAGCTCATCCCGCCCAGAAAAGTGCTCTACACCTACCCAAAAGGAGCTGGGGAGATGATGGAGGGTGTGTGATGCTCATTTATTATTGTTATTATTAATAATAATATTATTAAATATTATTATTGCGGCGCAGTGGGTAGCGTGATTGCCTCGCAGCAAGAAGGTTGCTGGCTCGAGTCCCGGCTGGGTCAGTTGATGTGTTTCTGTGTGGAGTTTGCATGTTCTCCCTGTGTTGGCATGGGTTTCCTCCGAGTGCTCCGGTTTCCCCCACAAATTTTATATACCTGCCTATGTCATTTCATACCTGCACAATCGTGTTCAAAACTGCCCAATTTGCCTGGAAACCGTCCAATCTGGCAACACTGAGCGCTACCAACTGCGCCATCACGCTGCCCCACTCCATCAGCTCATTTAATATTTGTTTTCTTTAAAGTCACTGGGCCTCATTTAGGCATGGGCTGGTGTAAGATCCTGACGGTGTGATGAACTTGGATAAAAAGATCCCGGTATTGTGATTACCGCTCTGAAATATACCCTTTCTAAATGTCTGGGTAAAAAACATCAACTTTTCCTCCCCATTGAACACGATATATTTAATTTAAGAAACTTTTCTAATATAATATAGCAGTAAACATGTCAGGTTGAATAATTAAAGTAAATCATTGACGTCTGCTGTCTTCATCAGAATCAAAAACACTGATTCCAGTACAGCTTTTCTGTGGATATACAGTAAAGCCACCTTAATCATTACTGCAATCAGTAATCATTGCCTAGCTAAAACATTCAAGTGTTTGTAACTAAATCTTGACACCATATTTAACTCAAATCTGAAGTATTTTAATTTCCAAGCATTGATATTTATAGGGATTACTGAATAATGTACTTTTTTCCACACGCTGTAATTAGAGACACAAGTGCACTACAGTTGTAAAGCTATGATCAGTAATGAGTGAGTGTTTTACAGCGAGTGAGCCGGCGCTGTTGATCACTGAAGTGTGAATCGGCACGTCCGGCTCTTACATAAACAGCACAGGGAGATTTTGGTGCTGCTTTTGTTCCTCAAATCCCTGAGCTGAGTTTATGGGTCAGTCAGGAGTTCATCAGGACACCAACAAAAGCTCTGACCTGCGGAGCGTTCATGAGGAGCACACACTGCACGTCAACACTATCCCACTGTCTTCATCATCATCTATAACTCAGCTCAAGCTTATATGTATACCTAAATCTACTGAAATGTGGTGTTGTAGGTCTTAAATGTTTTTAGGGTCGCCACTGGCTTGCTTTGGTTTGGGATTTGTGGAGCACAGTGATGGATTTGCTCGTCAGTGTTTGGGCTTTCAGCAGTGAAAATTAAACCACACTGAACTCTGGAAACTGGACTAACACAGTTTCAGCTACTAGAACTTCTATGTTAAGCTGCTTTGACATAATCTACATTGTAAAAGTGCTATAGGAATAAATGTGAATTGTATACAGTTTTATTTTGAATAAGCTATAATAACGAATGTATTTCTGTTTCCACAGATGGATCGGACCGGTTTTTGTGCGAGTCTGTGTTCAGCTATCAGGTTGCTTCCACGCTGAAGCAGGTTAAACATGGTACGTAATAGGAAACGCACAGGAAAACACTGGTAAACCTGTTTAATCAAGTGCTTGGATTACTTCTAATCTAATTAGTTTCATAAGTGATTTTGCAATGGCTGAACAGTGTGGAATAATAACTCTATTGTTGAGCTGTTTAATAGCCGCTGAACTGTACATTGTTGATAAAAGTACTGTTATTATAATAATCAACACTGATTTGAGCTGATCTGAATATCACCATTGTCTTCTGGGGGAAAAGAAAACTCTTGTGTGAAGTTTGCATCATGACTTCTGTTGTTTTTGCTTAGTGTTTCCCTTTAAAGCTGCTTTGCAAAATCTCTATTAAGATATAAACGCACAACCGTGAGAAATGAAGTCAGAATTCATGCTTGTTTAGTTCAGTTTTTTAGGCTCAGTGTGCCCTTACAGCAAGAAGGTCGCTGGTTTGAGTCTCGGCTGGGTCAGTGGGTGTTTCTGTGTGGAGTTTGCATGTTCTCTCTCCCCCACAGTCCAAACACATTCGCTATAGGGGAATTGATTAAGTAAATTGGGCGTAGTATATAAGTGTGTGTGTGAGAGTGAGTGTGTATGGGTGTTTCCCAGTACAGGGTTGCACCTGGAAGGGCATCCGCTGCGGAAAACATATGCTGTAATAGTTGGCAGTTCATTCCGCTGTGGTGACCCCTGATGAATAAAGAGACTAAGCCGAAGGAAAATGAACGAATGAATGTTGTGGTGACTTAAAATAGATATCTAAACCACTTATTAAAATATTATTTAAACAATTAGATACGCTCTGCTCTGCAAACGCGTAATGCTTTGATACACTTAAATCAAATAACATTAGAAATGTCAATACTGTAACTTTTTGATCAATTTAATTGGTCTTTTCTGAATTGATTAGACTGATTTAGTTAAAATGTTTTTAATTAAATATTAATTAGGGTTGGGCCAATAGATGATGCCATCGCCGATGGCCAATAGACAACACGATGCATCGCCGATCCCGCCCCTGTCGCAAACCCGCTAGCGAAAAATACACACTCAGGCCCTGTTTACACTAATACGTCTTAGTATTAAAATGGCATTTTAGAATGAAAATGATCCACATCCACACCGTGTTTTACCTAGCATTTCTGAACAGCCCTCCGTCTGCTGAAAACGCACATCACGTGACCACACACACACACACACACACGGGGCCGGAGCAAGCTGAACTGCCGCTCTAGGCAAAAGACGGTCTGCCGCCCTAGATGCAGATATAACTGAGGGCGCGAGAGGTGAGGGTAGTGTCGGGGACGGTGCCCTAGACACGGATATAACTGAGGGCGCGAGAGGTGAGGGTAGTGTCGGGGACGGTGCCCTAGACGCGGATATAACTGTGATATAACTGAGGGCGCGAGAGGTGAGGGTAGTGTTGGGGACGGTGCCCTAGACGCGGATATAACTGAGGGCGCGAGAGGTGAGGGTAGTATCGGGGACGGTGCCCTAGACGTGGATATAACTGATATAACTGAGGGCGCGAGAGGTGAGGGTAGTGTCGGGGACGGTGCCCTAGACGCGGATATAACTGAGGGCGCGAGAGGTGAGGGTAGTGTTGGGGACGGTGCCCTAGACGCGGATATAACTGAGGGCGCGAGAGGTGAGGGTAGTGTCGGGGACGGTGCCCTAGACACGGATATAACTGAGGGCGCGAGAGGTGAGGGTAGTGTCGGGGACGGTGCCCTAGACGCGGATATAACTGTGATATAACTGAGGGCGCGAGAGGTGAGGGTAGTGTTGGGGACGGTGCCCTAGACGCGGATATAACTGAGGGCGCGAGAGGTGAGGGTAGTGTCGGGGACGGTGCCCTAGACGCGGATATAACTGAGGGCGCGAGAGGTGAGGGTAGTGTTGGGGACGGTGCCCTAGAC